TTCACAACCTCCCCGTGGCTTTTCCCGTGGGGGAGGTTTCCTGACACTTGACTTGACAATTCTAGGACAGTCTTCCAAAATGTCTGGAATCCCTTGGGCTCCAGAAGTGCCCTGGCATTTAGCTGTGGCTTTTCAGTCAGGTTTTGAAGTTGAGAGTGAGTGTTAACATACCGCTGGCAGCCGAGGATGCATTTGAAGAGACATCTGCATTTCTTTCTGCAAGTAAAGGCCTTGCCACATCCCTTGGTAAGTTCTTTAAGCAGTTGATTGCCTTCCCTGATTTTCAAAGTGGAGCAGGGAGTCCCTTCAGTCTCATCTAACTGCAGATGCAGCACCAGCATCAGGATTATCTGCTTTCGGTCTGTATTGAGGCCGGGTGGTTTTAGAACTTAAACCAGTGTGGTGTGTAATTGCTGTTGCAGGCTGGTTCCTCAAGTGAAGCCATCCTGGATGCTATGGGCCGAGAGCTTGTTCCAGCCACAGGGATTGCCTTAGCCGGAGAATACGGAGCTGTCCCTGGCCACAGGTACAGTCACTATGGGGAAGGCAGACAGTGACATGCTCGTTTTATCCATCCATTCATTTTGCAGCACCTCTGTGGTGTTAAGATGGCCAGAGGTTCCTAGAATGGTTCCTGAAAGTAGATAAAAACAAAGCCTTGGAATTATGGTTGGGCTTGATGATCTTAAAGGTCTTTTCCAAACTAGGGTGTCTGTTTTGTCTGAACGACAGCACCTCGAACATCGCTCAGGAGTGGGGCTGCCCCAGGGCTTTTCCTCTGGTGTGCCTGTCTCCAGCAGAGTTAGGAAACCACACAGCAGGTCTGCTGTTCAAACAGTGATTTAACACCATCGCCTTTACTTTGAGGAGCAGACTGTGGCACGGTGTGTGGTGTGTGAGGAGTACTCACAGTTAAACCGCTCTGGCTTGGGTGGCGCAGTCCAGGAGGGTGTTGGGAGGGTATGCCAATAACTGGGGACCAACTGGGGACCTGCCAGCAGTCTGAGGGGCCAGGCACTACCATGCCCCTGCCTCAGTTTCCCCATATGCAAAATGCATTGATACAGGGGCTGGGAGGAACTACTTCTGATTAGCCATCCTTTAAATGTGGATCACAGTGCTTTTTGGTTAAGGAAATACACACCTACAATCAGTAACAATCTGACTGTATTAAACAATTGGGCTGTAATACAATTTGACTGTATTATTGTAGAGGTGGTTTGGTTGTACAGTGTGTGCTGGGCAGGGAGGCTGAATCTTGTAGTGCAGGGAAACTGGTGAGGAAGAAGATGGGAAATGACTCTGTTCCCTCTCTTTCTCCTGGATGAGAAGTGAGTGGACAGCATGAAGGTGGAAAACTGCACAGAAGCTTTTAAATGACCCTGAGTTAGCTGTATGCTTGTTCAAAACTGCATCTTTGTGTTCAGTTTGAAACAATGGAGTCCTCAGTCCAGATTGTCCAATTTACATTTCAAATCCATCTCAGCTGCCAACACATTGGTGGTACGGCGCTAGCTGAGAATGCCACAGAGCAGCCAAAGGGCTATTTGGCATTCAGGGGATGAGAGGGGAGAGGGATCTGGTTTGCAGACACAGAAAGGTAACCCACCTTTCATTGTAGTGAGTGCTTCCTGCCTCTGCTGTAGAATAGAGAGTCTGAATTGATAATGCCTCATGTGAAGCTGACCTTTATTTGGTATCTGCTAAAGTAATTGTGTTTATTTTTCTTCTCTGAAGCTGCTGTTGTAGTTCTTTTTGAATCAGGAAGCAGCCTGTGACCAGCTCTGCCTTTATTAGCAGCATGGAAGGGCTGGTGGGCTTTGAATAAAATGAGAGGCTGCATGATACATGTAAGGGTTTTCAGCAAAGCTTTGTTTGCAGCACTGGTAAAGCACTACTATTTCCCATTTGGCCTTTGTATGTGGGGAAATCCAGTTATGGCAGAGCCCTTCTAACAGCCACCAGTGGTGCTGGGACTGCCCACTGCTGTGGTGGATCTGCTTTGCATCAGCGTGGGAAACCAGTTAGGAAATGGGCCCTGAGGGCAGGGGGGTTCCTGTCCCTGGTCTTTCTAACTGAATGGTTTCCAGGATGTGAAACCTTTGAGTATCTGCTTAATGTGCAGTCCTGTAATCTGCACTGGGCAGCCTTAAAGCTCTCTCTAAGAAGGATTTCACTGCAGAATAAACATGTTTGCACACTGCTTTGGAACCCTTTGATGGGGAGGATGGGACTTGTTAATGAAAAGTAATTGCAGACATAGCAGAGCTGTGGCTGTGATAAATCAGAGCTGACCGGGAGACCAGTGTCATCTGTGGTATGTACCCTTTTGCACAGGAAACCCATCCTTGGGAGGAAGAAGTTGCAACCTCATCCGAATATAATCCAGGTGATCCGAGCGTTCACGTCCTCTGTCCCTTTGCTGCCTGGAGCCTTTGCAGACTATCCCGATGTTCTTCCATTAAGCCTGAATCCCAGAGGGATTGGTCACAGTTGGTGATGAAGAAGTAGGTACAGAGAAGCTTGTTAATGTGACTCAGGCTTTTTGTGAGACTCTGTGTTCTGCTGCTGCTGCTGCATGGGTCCTTGCAAAAGGTTGCTCTGGGCTGCTGCCAAAAAGCCAAGTGTGCTCTTGGAAACACCTCCTGTGACCTGTTCCAAGTCCTTGAGATGTTAACTCTTGTTCGACAATGAAAACAAGCTGTTCTTTTTAATAATTACCCCAAATTAAAGTGAGAAATGTGCAGCTTGTCCCCATTTGTCTGCCCTTTAAAGGCTGAATTTCACCCTTGGTCTGAACACACCGCTGGTGACGGAGCAGAATCGTTCATGAGATTTATGAGTGCTCTGTGTCTTGGCTTTCTCTGCTGGGTTTTGGTTTTGAATGGGTATTGCAGTGGCATGACCTAAAAGCACCTTCTCTTTCCCACTCTTTTGTGCTGCCTGCGTCTGGAGCAGCACTCTGTCCTCTCTCTATTCCAAGACCATGTTCTTTCTCCTAATTAGCACATCTCTTCATTTTGCTCATACAATCTGCACCATTAATCTGCCTTCTCTTTCATGCAAAATATAACACCACTACATAAAAACCTGCAAGAGTGACCACTGTGTACCCAGAGCCCCTGTTCAAGAGGCTGCTTTTATTCATGGTTGTTGAGCTCAGTGCTGACAGTGGTGGGTGTTGTTGCAAAACAGTGGGTTTGAGAACAGCAGAGAGGGGGTTGGAACTGGATGATCTTAAGGCCCTTTCCAGCCCTAACTAGTCTATGATTCTAGGACAGGGATGTGGCACGAGGGTGAGGCTGGGAGGTGGGAAGGCATTGTGGAGGTCAGGAGGAATCTGGCCCATACAAGTGCTGTATTCCCAGCCAGCCAGCACTGAGGTTGAACTACAAGCTGTAAGCTTCCAGGATGCTAATTCCAAGGTTTCCCTTGTTCTCGCTAGTTATCCCTGCACGCTGCGCCAGTATCTGCAGGAGAGCAGTCCGGATGTCTGTCTCTCCACGATGATGATTTTACAGCTCTTGGAAGGTGTGGACCATCTTGTTCGCCATGGAATAGCACACAGAGACCTGAAGTCTGACAACATCCTGGTTGAATTTGATTCTGGTATGTAGTCTGAAAGCCAGTGAAGTCAGGCACAGAACTGAGGTAGCTGTGAAGGTGTTCAGGGAAGTTCTGCCCAGGTTTGGGGGAAAAACGAGCATCAAACCCTTTGAAGAAGCTCAGGTTTGGTTTTTAGTGTCCTGCTTGCTGCCACTGCAGCACTGGGGACCTCATTGATAGATGACTATCTGTGCCTCAGCTTTTGGATCATTAAAACAGGCTTGAAAGGAGCGTTGTGCTGTAATCAGGTGGAGAGACACAGCATATTGCTGAGGTGGTGCACTGCACAGCACAGTGTAGAGTAACGCTGCGTTTGTGGTGCTGCAAGTGCCTTTGCTCAGGCTCTTGGCTCTCATTTCGCTAGCTGAATCACACAGAGCAGTTCTTACAGTCACACCTTGAGGTCAGGTTATGGGATGGTGGAACATGGGTACAAGTGCCTTTGCTCAGGCTCTTGGCTCTCATCTCGCTAGCTGAATCACACAGGGCAGTTCTTACAGTCACACCTTGAGATCAGGTTATGGGATGGTGGAACATGGGTTGGAAGGCAAAGGAACCAACAGTGTCAAAGTCAGAAGCAGCCGGAGAGGGCACTTCATCAGGGACTGTAGTGATAGGACAAGGGGTGATGGGTTCAAACTGAAACAGGGGAAGTTCAGGTTGGAGATGAGGCAGAAGCTCTTCCCTGTGAGGGTGCTGAGGCGCTGGCACAGGGTGCCCAGAGGAGCTGTGGCTG